GATATTTATAGTATCTGAAAGAATATTCTCGCCATCAGTAATGCTAATTTTTGTTGTTGTTACTGACTTTGGCATAGGTGAGGGTAGACACAGGCTAAGAATATAAATGGTGGGTCGAAAGAGACAGATGATTCTTACCCCAAATAGCGCGTGCACACACATTCTTCCTCCCTTTCTACCATTTGGCTGTGCACGCTCCTTCTGTCTTCTGAGTCTCGGGGCGAGTTCAAGCAGTGAACTGAAAGAGTTGGACACTGATGGGAAGACAGGGTGCTGTCGTAGAGGCTGTCTGGTGTGGCGAGCACAGTGCTGCTGTGTCAACGTTTCAAGGCAGTTGTGCAGGGACGTGTGTGCATTCCTGTTCGATGATCTAAGGGCCGTTCCAATCTCCCTGCCCCTGCTGGTGTCTCACCTCCTCACTGTTCCTCTCTTGTAACACTTTCTACTTTTTTTTTTTTTTGTAGTGAAATATACATAACATAAAATATATCATTTTAGCTGTTTTATGAATGTACAGTTTAGAGGCATTACGTACTTTTATAGTGTTGTGCAACCACCACTTTCCAGGACTTTTACATCTTCCCAAACTGAACTTTCTACCTATTAAATGGGAATTCCCAGGCCTGCTTCCCACAACCCAAGACAGCCAGCTACCTTTCTTCTTTCAGTCACTGAATTCGACTGTTCTCGATATTTCATACCAGTGGGAGCGGGCAGCGTGTGCCCTGTTGTGCCTGTCTTCTTTCCCTTAGCACGATGTCTTCGGGGTTCATTCATGGTGTAGCATGTGTTGGAATTTGATTCCTCTGTAAGGCTGAGTAATGTTCCATTGTATGTGCCCACCACATTTTGTTTATCTGCTCATCTGCTGATGGACATTTCGGGTTGTTTCCACCTTTTGGCTATTTTGAATGACGCCGCAATAAACGTGGTGTGCAAATATCTGTGCACGCATTTTCTTCTTTTATTATGATAAAGATGATGAATGTTAGACTGGATCAGGGTCTTCACTGTGAATTCTTCAGTAACAGTAAAATTGGTTATTCTATGCATTTCTCCGCCTTTTTTAATGTGGTAAAAACCAAACATAAAAGTTACCGTTTTAACCATTGCTAAGTGTACAATTCAGTAATGTTAGTACATTCACATTGTTGTGTTACAGATCTCTAAACATTTTCATCTTGTGGTACTGAAACTATACCCATTGAACAACGACTCCACTTCCCCTCCCCCAGCCCCTGGCAATTAACCATTCTTCTTCCTGTGGGTTTGATTACTCTAGGACCTCATACAAGTGGGATTATACAGTATTTGTCCTGTTGTGACTGGCTTATTTCACTTGGCATGATATCCTCCAGATTCATCCATTTTGTAGCATATGGCAGATTTTCCTTTTTTTCTTTATTGATTTTACAGAGAGAGGAAGGGGGAGGGAAAGAGAGAAACATTGATGAGTGAGAACATTGATTGACTGCCTTCTGCATGCCCCTACTGGAGATCAAGCTCACAACCTGGGCATGTGCCCTGATAGGGAATTGAACCGGTGACCTCCTGGTGCATGGGGTTGACGCTCAACCACTGAGCCACACTGGCTGGGCCAGGTTTTCCTTTTTGAAGGCTGAACAGCTTTCCAGTGTATGTGCCCCACTGTGTTTATCCGTTCCTCCGCCAGCGGGCATGTGGGCCATGGTGAATAACGCTGCAGTGAATATGGGGGTGCAGCTGTCTCTTCCAGAAGTGGAAGGACTGGATCACGTGGTAGTTCACTGTTTAATTTCCTGAGGAGCCTCCATACTGTTTTGCTATACCTGCTACAGCATTTTATGTTCCCAGCAGTGCACAAGGCTTCCCATTCCTCCATCACCTCACCAACACTTGTTATTTTCCTGTTTAATTTTTGATAGAGTGGCCGTCCTGATGTGTGTGAAGTGATAAATCACAGTGATTTTGATTTGCAATGATGTTTCTTAAAGCACTTTTAAAGGACATATTAAGAGCAAACAGATGGACTGAGGTAACAGAGGCTTGGGAAGCGATGGGGTTCCCAGGGCAGTTGTTTTTCCTCCTCTGACAACCCTCTGTGTGCTTGGCAGTGTGTGTGCTTGCTCCTCTGGTCTGCTGTCGCCACCCTGGGCCTGGAGGTTGAGTCTGGCCTCAGTGGCGTGGCCTGGCCGACAGTCTGTCGCCCTCTCATCCTTCTGGAGTCCTGGGTGATTGGTCAGCATTTTCTCACAGCAAATGACTCAGAATGCAGTGTAGCTCCAGATACACAACTATTTCAGAGAACAGCGATGCCTCACTCTCTTTTAACCATTTCCATTGACCACTTCTGTGTGGACTTAAAAATACTGATGCTGATCTGAAGTCAACATTCTTTCATGGGTTCATTCAACAGCATTCATGAGATACCGGGGACAATGCTGTCCAGTAGAAATACAATGCAAGACGTATATTGGATGTTCCTGTTTTCTAGTGGCCACATTAAAAACAGGTGAAATTAATTTTAACACATTGCATTGAACCTGATAGACCCCAAATATTGTCATTCCAATAGGTAATGCATGTTAAAAAACTGAGATATTCGACTTTAGCTTTCATACTAAGTCTCTGTAATCTGCTGCTCATTTAAACTTACAGCATGTCTCGATTTGGATTGGCCACACTTCAAGCGCTCCGAGCTGTGTGTTTCTAGCGGCCAGCTCACCAGACAGTGCAGACCTAGCATATTTCGCCAACAGCATCTGAAGTCCAGAAAAGGTCAGCCCTCAGCTCTGCCTGGTGGGCAAGCTACATCAGCGAGGCACTAATGACGGTGCTGAGAGCTTGTGGGAGAGAGGTGCGTGGTGGTGCAGGAGCCCAGGAGAGGGGCTCCCTGCCCCCGTTGGGTGGGTCTGCCACCACCAGACCTCATTCCTTTGAACTAGTCCCCCGTGGGGAGGGCACTGAGCTGGAGTTTGGCATGGGCCCCGGTTCATCAGACATTAACTTTTTGCCTCCTGTGTTAAGAGAGCCACTGCCAAGTTTACTTTTAATTACAGGCTCTGCTCTGGCCCTAAGTCTGCAAGCAGGGATTTCAGCACCATGACCTCCCTGCTCCCCGCCTGGGGACTTTCATTCCCACAGGCGGAATCCCTCACCTCTGCTTCGGGCCTGGGGGGCCAGGTGCAGCACCTTAGGGGAGGCTGGAGGGGTGGTGCTGAGAGCAGGACTTGGTCTGAACACTCTCCCCTCACCTCTGGGAACAGACCCCAACAGCTCTAGTTGTTTAGGGCAAGGTCACTGTCCTCGGACGAGCTTCCCTGAATGCACCCTGTCCCTCCCTGACCACCCTCCGAGCCCGGGTTCTCAGGGAGCCAAGGAGGCACCTGGCCCGGGGGTGGCCCCCCAAGCGAGGCGTGCCTGTGCACCTCCCCGGCTCCCTGCGTGGGGAAGGGCGGCGATGTGTTTACAGAGAGCCAGCCAGGAAGCGCAGGAGAAGAGGAGGAGCTGTTTCCACTTATCCTCCCACCTCCTTTTGGCTTTCTCTGCTGGCGTTGCCAAAGGCCAAGCAAGGGATGGGAATTTGGCAAAGTGAAAGTGTATCATTGTATTTCCCTAGCCCTCTGTCTCAGCTCCCTCCTGAGGAAGCCGGGCTGGACTTTTTTTCCCCCAGTTTACTTAACACTCAGAGACTCAAAATTCCTTTCCTACTGCTGATGTGGAAGAAGCTTGGAAATAGGTTCCTTTCCAGGAGATGAGTGATATGGCAGACAGACAAGGTCAGATGAGGCCAGGGACGGGGGCCAGAGTCTTACCAAACTCACAGGCAGCTCTGTGACTGCCGGACAGGCTGATGGAGAAGGGGGGCCTGGGGCTCCACCCGCTCTGGATTCTTCTGTGAGAGGTGGAGTGAAGGGAGATGGGGGGCTTCGGAGGTGTGTGTATCTGTGTGAGGGGGGCAGTCTGGCCCTTCAGAAGACTCTACTCCTGTATGTTGACATGTTAAGAGATGGAATGATTAATATTGCCAGCCTGCTCTAAGGCTCTGCTTCTTTTAATCGTATGTCAAACTTGACACTTTTCACATGGATTTCTTTGGGACTTTTTTATACCTTCCACCCTTAGGAATCAGATCCTTACTGTGAGGGTGCCAGGGGTCTCAATAATTGCCTTAATTAGTGAAGAGGCCAAAATAAAATATTTCTTCTCCCAGGAAAATAAAGGGAAGAAAGGGAAGGAGAACAGAACAACTGCTCTCCTGATTCCAAACTCACAAATCTGCTAGGACTCGAAGTCAGCTTTATAATGTACTTTAGCAGATAGTATTTTCATTAACCAGAACTGTTACATTGCGAAGTTAACTCCAGGAAATGAGAAGATTAAGACAATGGAAAAGGTCACACGATCTGAATGTCACACATGCATACTTAGTTTGTGCTGGAAAAATGAAAGTGAATCATTGTGACTGCTACAATCTACAGTCATATGCATTCTGGTATCAAAAATATTTTGTCTTTTCTTTTTTTTTTTTTTTTTAGCTTTATGAGATATCTTGAGTGTTAGTTTGAGTCCCTGCAGCAGGCCAGTAGGCCATACTGGAAGCTGGCCTGTGCTATGACACAGGCTGTGGGCAGGCACTATGAGTGACAAGCATTGCAGCAAGATTGTGGGCTCCGGGTTCGAGTCCCGGCTCCTCTGCTTATTAGCCCTGTGTGAGTTACTCAGCCTCTCTTAACCTCATTCATTTTCTGTAAACTTGGAATTATACATTTTTATTTATGGAGCTTACCCATATAAATTTCATTCATTTAAAGTGCTCAGTCCATTGTGCCCGACAAATATTAAATTATGAGGAAACATTAATTGCTATTTATTGGTAATACTTAAACTGAAATGCTGAGTTCAGCTAGCACTATACAGCTGCCCTCGTTTCTTCAGACCAGGAGCAAAGCAATACATTGGTTAACCCTTGCTTGGCCTCTTTGAAAAATTATTTAATTCTGTATTCTTTTTCTTTGCAGGTGTGTGGTGTCTTATGTGGAGGAAAGGCCAGTAATGACCCCTTGCAGATGGAGCTGACCAAACACAGTCTTTCCCATGGCAACAGAAAAAAAATAAAAACATAAAATTAAAAAAAATCGGAGGTTACATAATCGCCGTCACTGGACTGGGAGGAATGCGGAGATCATGAAGTTGTTTGTGGCTTTTGGTCGAAGGTGTTGGGTGAAGATACAGAAGTCCCACTGAGTAACTGAACAGGATGCTGTGCTTGCTTTGAAGTGAGTGAACTGGTCAGAAGCACAAGTGAGAGGGGAAGTTGAGGTTTAATGAAGGAGGGTCATTATTACTGTTTCCATGGTCGGAGCAGTTAAAGAGTTGGGAGTTGAAGTAAGGTTGTTGGTTGTGGGGAAAACAGCCCACAGACATTCAGACATGGTTCAAGTTCAGTCTCTGAGTCTTCATTTTAATCTGAAAATAGGGAGTCAAGGTTTTTGAATCACATAGCAAAGGGATTGCTTCATAATTTGAACAGTGAATGCCCATTATCGCATGTCCACAGAGGCACGAGATTCAGAAAGCTACACCATGCTTCTCAAATCCCAGCTATCCAGAGACTGTTTTTCTTGGGAGGAGAAAGAATATTACTATTTTGGATGACTAATTCTGCTTCCAAAAGGATTTATATTAATTTTCCCAAAGCCTGTGTGGAACCCAAAACATTAACTTTCAATGAACAGGTGCTGACTTTCCCCAACATCCATAAATGATCTTGGATCCATTCTCTCTATCTTTCTTGCGTGAAGATGAACCTAGAAGGCCTCATTTATTTGATTGGAAGATAGAATTGACTTTGCCATTGGGGATTTGCCGCTTTTGATTCTAGAACTGGGTTGGAAAAAAAACTGTTAGCCTCCACCTGCCCCTAGCCGTGTATGATAAATTAAGCCCATGTTTTGCTTTATTATTTGTTTATTTTGAAAATTAGTTTATTTTCCCTCCAAAGACCCAAGAGATACATAAAACCTACTCTACATTTCAGTAATAATTTGGCGGTAGAAGGAACATGGAGAATTGAAACCTATAAACTAAATATTTAAAAACTTCTACTTCTCACCTCTTTAAGTGGAGGAAAGGATGGAAGAGTGAGAAGGATAAGAGATTCTCTTCAGTGAGTGCCCGTGGTTTGGGGAACTTGGAGTTGCAAAGTCTGGATTAGAAGCTGCCTCTTCCAGTTAACGAGTGAACACTGGGGAATTTTGTAACTTCTCTGAGTTCTCTTTTCATTATTTGTCACGTGGAGATATTTACAGTATTTTTTGTGGTTCTATTAGATATGATATGATATATGTGAAAATTTCTAGGGAAATTCACCTAAGAGAGGAGAGGGGGAGGCACACACAACCAGGAGTCTGAGCAATTCTTTTATATCATTTGCTCTAAATTATCAAGAGTGGACTACAATCCAACAGTCTTCATTGTCTGACTTCTATCAGTGATCATTGCCCCAGGCCCAAGGGTTGCTATTGATCAGGCAAATATCAATAAAAGTAAGATTCATATTCAGGTCCATATCTTTTCTGCTCACCTTTTCTCATCCATGATGGTCCTTTGGGGATATTAGCCTAGTTCTGACTTGGGGGAATAAATGAAATAAAAAAAAAATTTCAGAGTTTCTTTATTAGAAGGATAGAAACTGGCTGTTCTCACTTTTTTTTTTTTTAAAGATTTTTTTGTTTTTGTTTATTTTTATCCTCACCTGAGGATACTTTTACACAAATAGAGTTGGAGGGAGGGTGGGAGAAGGGGGGGGGGAGAGAGAGAGAGACAGAGAGGAACACCCATGTGAGAGAGACACATTGATTGGTTGCCAACCATACAACCCAACCAGGCCCAGGGACGAACCACAACCGAGGTATATGCCCTTGACTGGGATCGAACCCCGGGAGTCTCTGGTCCACGGGTGATGCTCTTACCACTGAGCCATATCGGCCAGAGCTAAAGATTTTTTAAATAGATTTTTAGAGAGAGAAAGGTAGAGGGAGAGAGAAATATTGATGTGAGAGTGAAACATCAACCCACTGTCCCCACATACCCTCTTCTGGGGATTTGGCCCACAACCCACAACTGATTCCTGGTTGGGAATCAAATTCCTGACCTCTTGGTGCATAGCTCAACACCCAACCAACCAAGCCACACCGGCCAGGGCAATGAATGTTTCTGTTTTTTGTTTGTTTGTTTTAATTCTGGAGGGAGAAGTGGAACCGTGGCAGTTTCTTTTAGCCTGCGAGCTCAGGGCTTTGCAATATCTCTGCTCCACGTTTCTGTTCTACCTGGAACAGAAAGAAAATCTGTCTCTACCTTCCCTCACCCTTGCCTTTGTCTGAGCTGACGGGAGTAACCCTTCTCTAGGAGTGTTGCTTACCCCCCCGCCCCCTCCCCTTCTCCGCATTGAAGAGTAGGATGAACATCTTATTGCTCTCAGTTGGTTTTGGGTCAGAGTGTTGGAAAGTCGCCCTTTCGGTGTGTGTGTTGGCAGCGAGGCGCACACGGCGTCTCCTTGCAGGCTCCACACTCCACTGCCACAGCCTGTGCCCTCAGCTCTCCTAGGGCTTGTCCCCAGCCTAGCCCCGAGCACACAGTCTGTGGGGCCAGGAGTCCTTATGAATTCTGAAAACAAGTTGTTTACATCCAACCATGAGAACGAAGAGAATTGACCATGTGATTAAAAATGGTAGACATAGTATAAACATATAAACATCCATTCCAGTAAAGTCATGAAAAGGAATGGGAGTCATGATTGGGCATCTGGGCTTGGCTTTGCTACTAGCTAGAATTGTAAAGGTGATAAAGTAACTTGATTTTTTTTTTTATTCTCACCCAAGGATATTTTTCCATTGCTTTTCAGAGAGAATGGGACAGACTGAGGGAGGGAGGGAGGGAGAGAGAGAGAGAGAAGAAACATCAATGCGAGAGAGACAAATCGATTGGTTGCCTCCCACACAACTCCAACCATGGTTGGGCATTGAGCCTCCAAGCCAGGGGTGTGCCCTTGACTGGAATCCACCCTATGACCCTTTGGTCCATGGACCTCTGCTCTAACCACTGAGCAAAATCAGCCAGGGCAGTAACTTGATTTTTATGGGCCTCATATCCAAATATAAAATTGTTTTATATTTTAACTTATAAAATAAGGCTTTAGATTGAATTATTATTAAGACTCTCAGTATTATGATTCAGTTTTTAAGTTCAGTAATTCTGATTATAGTTTATCTTATTAAGGATTATAGTGTTTGTATTTTACATTACCTAAAGAATACCACGTTATTCAAGATTGGTCATTGCCATTAATATGCTTAATACTCAAAGCACACAAGAGATAAAAGAAAAAAGGTTCCCACGACTCTGATCTGTCTGCCCTACCCAGTGGGGAGATGGTCAAGGACAGTTACCTCATTAAAGCAACAGAAGAAATTAATGAGTAAAGAAGACATGGCGTCGTATCTTTTATTGGGTCTTTGGAAAGGAAACTCTATATAATTTAAAAATCTGAAGAGCTGAGTGCAAGACTAGATATTCCTTTGGTAATCACTTCTTTTGGAATCTTTAAAAATGGAATAGTCAGATCAGCATTTATTTTGGTATTCCCCGGAGATAGAAGGGTTTTAATTGCCCTTCTAAAATCTGAGCCTCAACCTGAGCCTGTGGTCGGGTGCTTCTCGTTAACCTAAACCTCCGTTGAGCGTTTATGGATTCTTTTAGGAAGAAAGTTAGAAAAACTATCTAGGTGCTTATGAAAGCCAAAAAAACTACAATTGGAAGATAGAAATGTTCCCTTAGAAAGTTTTATATCTGTTATATCTGTTCCTCAGAAAGATACATGAATAATGAACCAGCCTGTGCTTGTTCTTGTTTTAAAGTAAACATCTTTGTAGACTTGTAGTTGGCCCCTGATGAACCATTCATGGAAGCATAAGGCAGGAGCTTGGCATTGGGATTGAACCAACGGAATAAAAGCTGTTACAACCTTGTTATACCTTTCCAACATAAACAATATCCCTTAAATAAATCATTTTTATATTGGTTTATATTTAACATCATGTGGGAACTTTCCTTTGACTTTTTTGTCTGATTTGGATTGGAAGCTAGGCATACATGTCTCCTGACAGTGGTGTTCTAGGTTACCTCTTACATTCCAAAGTGGCCTAAGCCAGAGTTATTTATTTTTCCCTTGTCAGGGGATAGCACTTATTACTCTGTTCTAACTAGGGCTGTTTCAATTTTCTACCTGTGTATCCTAGCATACCCTTTCAATGAATGCTTGTATTGGGCATTCACTTATATCTTACCCTCACCTGTCATTGTTCCCCACCTGAAACAGTTTGCTTCCGTAGAGGATCTCATGCAGCTTTGTTGTCCATGAATGATTTTCTGTTGACTCTATCTGAGAGGATAAGGAATGCTATATTTTCCCCCCAAAAAGATTAAAATGATAAGTATCAGTATGATTATATTTTATTCATCTTTGGTTCTCTCTTTTTAAATATACTTTATTTTTAGAGCAGCTTTATGTTCACAACAAAATTGAGAGGAAGATACAGAGATTTCTCATAAACCTTCTGCCACCACATATGCACAGCTTCCCCAGATCAGTATTTCCCCGCGGAGTAATGCCTTTGTTATCATTGCGCCTACACGGACACATTCTTGCCACCTGAAGTCCACAGTTAACATTAGGGTTCACTCTTGGTTTTGTACATGGGTTTAGACAAATGTAGGATTACATGTATTTGTCATTATGATATCATACAAGTATTTTGCCCTGGCCGGTTTGGCTCAGCGGTTAGAGCGTCCGCCTGTGGCCGGAGAGACCCGGGTTCGGTTCCCGCTAAGGGCATGTACCTCGGTTGCAGTTTGTCCCCGGCCCTGGTTGGTCGTGCGGGTGGCAGCCACTCGATGTGTCCCTTTCACGTCGATGTTTTTCTCTCTATTCCTCTCTCTCCCTCCTACTCTGTCTGTGCAAAAAATGGAAAAATGTCCTCGGGTGAGGATAAAACAAACAAACAAACAAACAAAAAAAACAAACAAAAAAAACATACAAGTATTTTTCCTGCCCCCAAAATCCCCTGGGCTCTGCCTATTCATCTCCCTTTCCCCTCCCAAACCCAGGCAACCACTAATCTTCTTACTGTCTCCATAGTTTTGCCTTTTCCATATGTCATAGAGTTGGCATCTTGTAGTATTTAGCCTTTTCAGATTGGCTTCTTTCACTTAGTAATATGCATTTAAGTTTCTTTCTTTCTTTTTTAAAAATGTTTTTCTTTATTGATTTTACAGAGAGAGAAAGGGAGAAGGAGAGAGAGAGAGAAACATTGATGAGAAAGAACATTGATTGGCTTCCTGCATGTCCCCCACTGGGGATCGGGCCCACAGCCTGGTTCTGTGTCCTGACTGGGAATTGAACCAGTGACCTCTTGGTGCATGGGTCGATGCCCAACCACTGAGCCACACTGGCTGGGCTTAAAAAAATTTTTTTTTACATGTTTTGCATTTAAGTTTCCTCCATGTTTTTTTCATGGTGTAATAGCTTATTTTTTTTAGCCCTGAATATTAATCCATTGTCTGGACATACCACAATTTCTTTATCCACTTTCCTACTTAAGGACATCTTGGTTGCTTCCAGGTTTTGACAACTATGAGTAAAACTGCTCTAAACAGCCATGTGCAGTTTTTTTGTGTGTGAATATAACTTTTCAACCCCTTTGGGTAAATAGCAATGAATACCACTGCTGAATGGCAAGAGAAGGTTTAGTTTTATAAGAAACTGCCAAACTGTCTTCCAAAGTGGCTGTACCATTTTGCATTCCCACCAGGAATGGTTGAAAGTTTCTATTGTTCTATAACCTTGCCAGCAATTGGTGGTGTCAGTGTTCTGGATTTTGGCATTTCTAGTAGGTATGTAGTGGGATCTTATTATATTAATTTTCATTTCCCTGATGGCATGTGATGAGAAGCATTTTTTTTTGCATGCTTATTATATGTCTCCTTTGATGAGGTGTCTGCTAAGGTCTTTGGCACCCTTTTCTTTTTATCCTCACCCAAGGATATTTTTACATTAATCTTCAGATAGAGCTGGAGGGAGAGAGAGAGGAACATCAATGTGAGAGAGACACATTGACTGGTTGTCACCTGCACAACCCCAACTGGGGCCGGGTACGAACTGCAGCCTAGGTATGTGCCCTTGGCCAGAATCGAACCTGGGACTCTTCAGTCCGTGTGCAACACTCTTACTGCTGAGCCATACTGGCCAGGGCTGGCCCATTTTTATTGGGGCTTTTTGTTTCTTATTGTTGAGTTTTAAGGGTTCTTTGTATGTTTTGGATCAACAAAGTCCTTTATAAGATACATGTTTTGCAAATATTTTCTCCCAGTGTGTGACTTGTTTCCTCATTCTCTCGACAGTATCTTTTAGAGAGCAAAACATTTTCATTTTAATAAAGTCCAGCTTATTAACTATTTCTTCCATGGATTTTGCCTTTGGTGCTTTATCTAAAATTTGTCTAGATTTTATCATGTTATCCTATAGGAGTTTTATAGTTTTGTGTTTTCTATTTAGGTCTGTGATCCATTTCGAGATGATTTTTGCGAAGGGTGTAAGGTCTATGTCTAGATTGATTTTTTTGCATCTGGACGACTGGTTGTTCTGGGACCATTTGCTGAAAAGAGTGTCCACGCTTCATTACATTGCCCTGCCTCTTTGTCAAAGGTCAGTCGGCTATATTTATGTGGTCTTTTTTGGGCTGTCCATTCTCTTCCATTGATCTATTTGTCTTTTTCTTCACTAATACTGTACTGTCTTGATTACGGTAGCTTTAAAATAAGTCTTGAAGTTAGGTAGTGTTAGCCTTCCAACTTTGTTCTTCTTAACATTGTTAGCTATTCTGGGTTATTTCATCTCTCTTTTATGCATTTAGCAGATTTCATAAAAGCTGGCTTTGGATTTTCACAATCCAGATATAAGAGATAATCATGATAAATATGATATATCCTAGAAGTTTGCAAGTTGGAAAGAGTGACTTGACCAATCTTTCAATGAATTGTGTCTCTGAAACTATTCATCAAGGAGATCAACAGCCGACCAGAACGCATTGTCGGAGGAGCAAAGTTTTCCGTCCTTTTCTTAAAATTTCATCTGACAGGGGCAATATCTCTGCCCCTCCTCAACATGTCGTTTTCCTTGTAAACAACTTCTGACACCCACTGAATACAAAGCAAACCCTCAACCGCCACCACTAGCTGACTTCAATCTGCCTTTCGAGTCGAGGCCTCCACAGCTGTCTGTGAAGGTGTCTTCTCAAAGGAGCTGTAGTTCGATAGGGTGAGGGACATGCTGAATTTAGAAGACTCTGAGCTCAAATCCCTGCACTGCATCTGTCAACTGTGTGAACTTTGTCATGTCACATCACCCCCCACCCCCAAACTTAGTCTTCTAAAGACTAAAACAAACAAATAAATGAATACATTGACTCTTGTTTTCATCTGTATACCATGCAAGTAAATCACATGGAGGGTCAGAAATTTAGATCCATTCCCTGAACTACTTATTGATTGTAGCTAAATGGGATTTGCTGTATATGAACATAGGGTATTTGGAATTGAAGAAATACTCCTTTTTCTTGTATTTAGAGGTAAATTGTTTTTTTCCTATTATCTAATATCAAAACACTTTGGCCACAAAGATAAGTTTAATAATAGATTTGGGGCACAAATAAACTATTTACAAGTTAAGACATTAAAAAGGCTATACACAAATCTTTTTGACATTTATGTTCAATCTATGATTTTATATGTCGCTCAGTTATGAAGGGGAAAGAGAGCATAAAATCTGATTTTTATTAGATTACTTATATGCTCTGAATTATACTTTTTGGCCTTATCTAATACTGGCAGAATATCTAGGAGGGTATACAATTCAGTTTTCTCAGACTCTGCTCACCATCTGCTTTCAAAGTGAAAATGGACATCATATTATACCTTTATTGCCCTTTGTCTGCTAAGTCCAAAGTCAGGAGATAGAGGTCACTATTCTTTTTACAACTAACTTGATACTAACACTGCCTGTTCTATCATCTGCTTTCTCTGCACAGCTTTCTGATAACCATTCACCCTTTCTTGGCCCCCTTACATACTTTCCTTTTCCCTCACATACTTTTTGCAACAGATATTCTTGGCTGAAGGAAATAGGGAACTCATTCATCAGGAATGTTTAATTCGGTTTTTCAGAAACAAAAAAAGTTGTTTTGCTTTCTTTAGTATTTTTTCCCCTTTTGGACCAGATTCAGTGTGAAAGTAACAAGAGAACCTTGAAAATCTGATGTGAATCACAGCAAGTTCACAGATTTAGAGAGAAATTGGGAGGAATAACAGTATTAAGCTTGCATGGGTCTTCTGTATATTAGTGACTTTCGTGTACACGCTTACATGCGTGCGTACACACACACGCGCACACAGAGCATTAGCTGTGGAAAAGATGATTGTGACATTGACAAATCTTATTGGATAGATATGGAAGCTAGCTGATAGAGCCTGTTCCAAAACATTTTGCTAGTAAGCATTATAGTGTTTTTCTTGTTTACTCTGTTATATGTGGCAAAAAAAGATTTTTTTTGTGTGTGCAGTCTTGTGGGTTCTAGTAAAATCAATGCTACATTGTATTTTCTTTTAAAACCTTCATGATTTCATACCCTATAGCAACATAATACTTTAGGGCCAGGGTTTTATTTTATTTTAAATCCTCTTTTCTTTATTGATTTTAGAGAGAAGGGAAGTGAGAGGGAGAGAGAGAGAGAAACATCGATGAGACGGAACATCAATTGGCCTCCTCCTACCTGCCCCCCACTGGGGATTGGGCCCACAACCTGGGCATGTGCCCTGACCAGGAATGAATCCGGTGCCCTCTTGGTACATGGGTCGATGCTTATCCTTTGAGCCATACCAGTCAGGCTAGGTAGGGTCAGGGTTTTATACTGCCATCTATGTGATATGCTATTTGTGCTAGAGATTTGCTCAGGAGGGGCATTTTCTCATCATCTGGACTGTTCTACTAAGCAATCCTTTCAAAGACCAGGGCATCTGAAGACCATCTAGCACTAACTCTATTATTAAATGCTTAATGTGAACTACAGATGTCTGTCTGCATTATCTGTACTAACTTTTTTCTTTCCATACAGTACTCCTGTGGGGTAGGCACCATTATGCTCCCATTTATAGTTGAAGAGGCTGAGGCACAGTCGAATTCATAACTTGCCGGGGTCCCCAAGCTAGTGTGGCCTCAAATCCAGGTCCTCTGAGTCCACAGCCTCTCTCCGATGCTACTTCTTAGCCTGATGAGCGAGTGGCCGTGGCATCCTGAGAACCTTGACTTGGCCTCAGTTGACTTAGGAAATAGTTTTGTGTGTACGTCTTTCCAGGCCTATCCCATTTTTTTTCCCATCAATTATATGGAGTGCCCACTTTTTAGGAAAGTAGTCGTAAGATGTAATTCCAGGCACAGTTAGAGGGTGGGCGAGGATTAAGTCAGTGGAAGGGTTAGGGAAAGCTCCCTGGGCACCCTTCCAGGAAATTCAAGTTTCAGCTGGACCTAGGGACACGGTGTTTGGAGAGAATGGGAGAGTTTGCACACGGGTGTCCCTGCGTCATCTTGGGCTTCAGCCTGAACCTCGCCATGATGGAAAAACAGATCTCAAGAAAGATGAGAGAGATACCATATAGCTTTCCAAGGACTAGAATTTCACAGCTACAACTTATAACGTCCACTGTTCTCGTGAAGATTTACATGGGATTGTTTATTTTTTTCTGTTTGAGGATATATTTTCCTTTATATTAAAAAGATAAATAGCCCTGGCCGGTTTGGCTCAGCGGTTAGAGCATCAGCCTGCGGTCCACAGAGACCCGGGTTCGATTCCCGCTAAGGGCACGTACCTTGGCTGCAGTTTGTCCCCGGCCCTGGTTGGGTCGTGTGGGTGGCGGCCACTCGATGTGTCCCTTTCACATCGATGTTTCTCTCTCTTCCTCTCTCTCCTTCCTGCTCTATCTGAGTAAAAAATGGAAAAATGTCCTCGGGTGAGGATAAAAAAAAAAAAAAAGATAAATACCCTGTCTTTAGAATCCTTTGAAGTGTGATGATTGGAGGGCAGAAATATGCAAACTGGGTTCTTTTCATTCTAGTCTTTGGCATAATTTAAATGCTTCTTTGTTCACTGGCACACTTATTCAAGGGATGTTTATTGAACAGCTACTATATGCCAGACCCTTTGCTAGATAGATAGATGTTGATCTGTCTTCAAGGCATTTTGATTCTTGTGGGAGACACTGTCCTGTACTCAGATGGTCACAGTGCAGTTGAAGTGCCACATTATCACAAAGGCGGGAGGAAGCAACCCTTCCTGTGGTCATCCGCAGACATTCGAGCTAAGCTGACGATAGCAGAGCTGGCCGGGCAAACGTGGGCAGGGAGCGCATGGGAGACGAGGGTGCTCAAAAGCCTGGAGCCCTGGAGGGACAGGAATAATTATCATCATCTCACAGGTGGAAAACTGAACCTTGTCACCAGCGTTTTTCACCTATGATGGAAATGCCACCAACACTCAGGGCTCAGGGACCTTCCTATCCAGTCTTCATGTATTACTGGCTAAAATTGGGTGGCGACGGTGGCGGCTGCTGCATTTATGTATGTATGTATGTATGTATGTATGTATGTATGTATGTATGTATGTTTAACTTTTCCTGCTCAGCTTGATCGATTTGAATTAGATGTGGGTGTTTTTGACATCAGGCTTGAGTAATACTGAGGAAGTAGAGCGGGGACGGAGCTGCCCGCTATGGCACCGTGGAGTGTAAGGTTTTCTGCCATTTTCGTATTTATTTTTCCTCAGGAAATTCTACTTTTCTGCTATGCCATCAGGAGGTGGCTCTTTGTCACTGCTCTGTGTCCTTTGTCTCAGCTTTTTGGGGAGCCATCCTGGACAAGCCTAGCATGTCAGTGGGAAGACTTCCTCTGTTTAGTACCTTAAATTTGCTAATTGGTATTTTCTATGGAGACAGCCAACTGCTCGTGTTTAAGTAACTTACCATTCCTGGGCAACTCCTACATCTGCCTGACATGATGTCATATAGTTTGTTCCTATAAGAAACTTTGCAGATGGCTGTGATAAGTGTGAAGGGTGTTTTCTATGTTTTGACTTACTGTCTCTTCAATTATATTATATAAAATTCAGCAGACTTCTCCACAATTATTAGGAAAATGAATGATTTTCCTGTCATAAATCACAAATACTGTGAACTCCAGGAGGGTTGTAATTGACAGGTATCCACTGATAGTTTATTTCTGTTTTCCAAGAGGACTCACAAAAATGTTGTGTCTAGCACTTTTATTCAGAAAAATATATCCTTCAAAATAATTTTCCTGATACTGGGTGCTGTAGCTAATTCTGTTAACTTTTCTGGTTAAACTAGCTGGGTATCCCAAACATGACTGTGTAAGATAAAACAGCATAGTGCCCAAACTGTATCATAACATGATGTCAAAAATACATACATGCACACACATACAAACACACACACACATGCGTGTGCGCACACACACAGGTACAATTGAATATACTGTTCATGATGTTCTGATTCAGGGGAACTGGAAAATGATTTGGAGT